ATTGAGTTCTTCAGGCTTATATGTGAGAAAAGGGAGTTTCTGCAAATGCCTCTCTGATGATATGCCCCTGCTCACAGGCAAAACCCTTTAATTAAAGCTTTGCCCAGAGACAATAAGGAACCACCTGTATGTTAGACCTGACATTAATATCTCAGGCAGAGTTTACTGTTGTGTGAGGTCTATGCAGCATTCAGAATTAGCAGATTGAGGAGGTAATAAGTTGATCCCTGAACTAAGCAGCTACCTTTACTGTCCTGAACTACGGAAAAGGTAGAGTAGGTGATGAGGTATCTTCCATATTGGTGCTCAGGCATGTTTCTTACTACGTTACCCTCAGTACTTTTAGGAGAAAGCATTTTGTTTAACAATGGCGATTAGTAGTTTCTTCTGCTAGTTGGCAATATGCTCTGAAAAGTTGGGTTTCCTATCATTATCATTAAGGAGCTATAGCTTATGTTGTAGTTGTAGATTTGCTAATGCCGTGTGTTTTTCTGCTCATAGCATGGACCCATTCATATGACTAATTTAGGTACAGGCTTCTCCAGTCAGAGTGAAATCGATGGAGCCGGATCGAAGCCAGCAAGTTCCTCAGGAAAGGAGAGAGAGAGGGACAGGTGAGTGACGAAAGAATTATGTTCACACCTTTTCTGTTTCTGGTGGAAAGCTTATTTCAGAGATGATCTGTGTTTCATGTTCTTTTCTGTGACTTGGGGGTTGAGGGGGTTGTTCTGTTGTGGGTGTCTTTTTGTAGTATGGTTGGGGGGGGGGGGGTTAAGGAAAAAGATACAAGAGTTACCTTTTCATGCTACATAATGAAAATAGCTCGTTTTCCACTCCTCCCTGTATGCTCTTACTTTGGGACTAGTATTTTGCCAGTTCCTTGAGATAACAGGATATTCTTGTGGAAATAGGTTAGCACAATGCTTTAAATTATTCCAATTTAAAACTTTTTTCAGATTTATTTTACAACTTGAAATTTTGCAGCCTGAAGTTTGAGGGAAAGATTTACTTGATAGTCCCTCTTGTTTTCTGGCCATTATGAAATACATCAAGGGTATTGGTAACATTTTTGATGTTCGCCATCTTGTATGTAGCCCTAAATTCAGCAAAGCTATTAGAAGTTATCAGGCATCACAGCTATTAGAAGTTATCAGGCATCACTGCTCTTCCTTACGCACTCCAGTGCATTGAGCCACAAAACTCCTGGGCTTGTACCCTGTCCAACCTGACCCTGAACACTTCCAGGGAGGGGGGAATCTTCAACTTCTCTGGAAAGCCAATATCTTGTTACCATTCAGAAAATTATTTCTTCCTTGTATCTAATCTAAATCTTCCCTCTTCTAGTTTAAAATCATTACCCCTTGTCCTGTCACTACAGGCCTTGGTAAAAAGTCTCTTCATCTTTCTTACAAGCCCTGTTTAGGTATTGAAAGGCTGTAATAAGGTCTCCCTGGAGCCTTCTCTTCTCCAGCCTGAGCAACCCCAACTCTCTCAGCCTCTCTCCATAGCAGAGGTGTTGCTGCCCTTGGATCATTTTTGTGGCCTCCTTTGGGCCTGCTCCAACAGGTCCCCTCTTGTGCTGGTGGCCCCGGAGCTGGATGCAGGGCTCCAGGTGGGGTCTGCAGAGCAAAGAGAATCGCCTCCCTCAGGCTGCTGGACACGCTTCCTTTGATGTAGCCCAAGGCATTATTGGCTTTCTGGGCTGCAAGTGCATGTTGCTGTCTTGTGTCCAGTTTTTCATCCACCAGTATGCCCAAGTCCTCCTTCACAGGGCTGCTCTCAATCCCTTCATTCCCCCAGCCCATATCGATACTGGGGGTTGCTCTGACCCAGGTGCAGGACTTGCACTTGGCCTTGTTGAACATCATGAGGTTTGCATGGGCTCACTTGTCAAGCCTGTCAGGGTCCCTCTGGATGGCACATCCCTTCCCTCTCACATTTGGACTGCACTGCTCTGCATGGTGTTGTTGCAGCCCTGTCACTGAAGACATTAGATAGTATTGGTCCCAGTACGGACCCTTGAGGGACACGACTTGTTACTGGTTTCCACTTGGACACTGAGCTGTTGACTGTCACTCTTTGGACGTGGCCATCCAGCCAGTTCCTTATCCATCTAATAGTCCATCCATCGAACCCATTTCTCTCCCATTTAGAGGTAAGAATGCTGGGGGGGCAGTACTGAAGGCCTTTAGAAGTCCAGGTAGGTGACATCTGTTGCTCTTCCCTTGTCCACTGATGCAGTCACTCCATTGTAGAAGGCCACTGAGATTAGTCAGGCAATTAAAAGTTAAACTCCTCAGGTCGAGGACTGAGTTACACATTTGTTTGCTGTTACCTTTGACTCTGTGCTTGTTTTAAAAAAGAAAAAATAAGGGCTTGCATTGGTTTAAATAGGCAGTTGATGCCTCCGCCAGCTTTTCCTGTCACTGGGATGAAATCGGAATCTGAAGAAAGAAATGGTGCAGGGTCTTTACCAGGCAACCATGGTGAGTGCAATGAATAAAATAAACTTGTACGTCAAGTTTCCTTTCCCAAATGAGTTTGCACTGGTCTTTAACATTTGTTTAAATTGGTGGTTTTTGCCTGTTTTTTATACTGCACTGTTTTAAGTGAAAAGCAGGTCGTATTGTACTGCTCTAAAATACGTTTGCTGTGATTATACACGCATGATGCTTCTCTTAAAACTTTAAATATCTGTATGAATGAGGAGAGTGTAATTAAGTGAAGGATTAAAGACAGGTATTTCAGACCCTTCAGTCAGCTGGGGCACAGAATCTTATAGGATTGTTTTGTAACACAGATATGATGTGGCTTTACATTGTGAACAGATGTCTCTAGAGGCACTAAGGAGTATCGGTGGAAGTTGTGGTTCAGGTGTGTATTTACAGACATGAGTTATGTCTGCAAACAACAGAAGTACTGTCAAATTTCATCCTTTCTTAGGGCTGTCAAACGTCAAGTATTGGCAACTTGGTAATCATTTTAACTCTCCTGGTAGTTTAGTGCCTTTCAGGTCTGCAGGTACATCATGGTAGCCTGTTTAACCTTAGTTTTTCTACAGTATTGGTCCCAGTGATTGCTCTTCTGTTAGCTTTCTTTTGAACAAAATTTCTACTTTTCTTTACGTATTTATCTCTTTAACGGTGAAATTGCCATCACTTAGACCCATTTGCTAACTTTACCTTTTTTGTGTGTTTCTTTCTTCTTTCTCTGTTCTCTTACATGGTTCTGATGGATCACATGTGCTGTTGCTGGTGCTGTTTCGTGTGGCCTTCGACCTTGGATGACCATTGGCCTTGTGACCTCAAAATGGTGTCCAACTAACAATTTACAATTAACGTCTTTTTTTATTAACTCGTTTTGGGGCATTTTATCTCTTTTTATTTTTATTTTTCCTTCTTGGGGGCTGGGGGGATTGTTTTGTTTTCCCCTCCTAGATCATCAAGCTAAGAAGATGAAAACTGCGGAAAAGGGCTTTGGATTAGTGGCATATGCTGGAGATTCATCAGATGAAGAGGAGGAACATGGTGGCCATAAAAACGCAAGTACTTTTTCACAGGGATGGAGTTTGGGATACCAGTACCCTTCATCACAACAGCGAGCTAAACAACAGATGCCATTTTGGATGGCACCATAAAAGCTGCAAAAGAGTTTTCATTCATCTTTTTTCCCCTCTAGCAATAATGCATGTATATTACAGAATGAACTTTGCAAATACGCATTGTTTTTACATTTGCAGAAGCTAAAGGTTCAGTATTCCCCCTTGAAAGGGCTCCATTATTTTTAAAATCCTTATTTCTGCAGTGACTTTGTCAAAAAAAAAAAATATTTTGACAGGGCTAGTCCCTTATACAGTGGGGGAAGTACTGTAAAGAGAAACTAGGGAAGCCTGTTGGTTTGCGTTTCCCATTTTTCCAGGATAATTTAAAAATGGAAAGTCAGTCACGCTGACTTCATTCTACACCTGGTGTTCGTATTTTATTGAGTGTTCCTGCTGTCAGCCTGTGTTTGCAGTCCTGTTGAGCTAATGGTGACCCCGGCTTCAATGTTTGGACTTCCAACAAAGGGAAGGAATATACAGTAGTTCTGAAAAACTTGAGGATCGCACTTCCTAAAACTCTTTATTTGTTTTTACTTTAAGCATCTCCTGTAATTCCGCACTGTTTTTTTCTTTAAAATGTGGTTTCACTAACCCCACAACTTCTCGTTCTAGCCAGATGTCGGGGTGGGGGGATGCTCAGTTTTTTTTGGATGGGTTTATCTTGCTGCTAATCCCCAGGTGCACACGGCGCTGTAGCACCCGCACTTAATCTTCTCCGATCACCCCTGGATTTGTTCCCAATTCAGCAGTTCAGATGGAACTCCTTCTCGTGAGGTTTTCCCCCATCTCTTAACTCATTCACTCACTTCTACCCCTTCTGTTTCATGGTGGTTTAACAAAGAAAAAGGCAGGCAACAACCCGGGTCCCTGCGGCGCCAGTGACCCCGAGCACAGGTGTTGCTCTTGCCTTGAAGCGTGGAAGTGGAACCTGGGACTAAATTGTTGGATTGTTACGGACACGCGCTGCAACACAGGCTTTCTTGGCGGGGTGGGCTGTTGCAGAGAGAACTCTTGTGTGGAGAAGTGATGCGTGGAACTGCGATGAGGTGCTGGTCAGCTTTTGAAAGGGGAGAAATAGTTTTTCAAATGGGTTTGTGTGTCATTGCTGCACACTGACAGACCTTGCTGGCTCACTTGTACAAACATTGTCTTTCCTATGTGTTGTAAATAATTAGAACCATACTTTCATTATAAATAAATGTATAAATATCCTGCTGCTTGCTGGTTTTTGGGGGGGAGGTGATTTTTTTCGGGAGGCGGTTGGCGTTCGGGGGGATCGAACCCTGATCTCCGCGGAGCGGCGGGCGGGGCCGGCTCCGCGCCTGCGC